ACGAGCACAGGCTGCGGGTGGAGGATGGCTTCCTCCCCTGCTGTAAGTTTTTTACCTGCATTTGCTCAAAATGACAGACTACGGGCTGTCTCAGGTGTGGTCACTACTGGTTTGGGTTTATTTTTTCTCTCCTGCGAGGAGAGAAACAGGAGCCTCTTTGATCCTGTTTTGCTTTTCCTTTCACTCTCTGCTTTTTTTCTTCCTTGTTTGGATTTTCCCTTCTCTCCCTGTGTCCCTATTTTCCTCTGCTGTTTGGGCAAGAGGCGGCGGGGAGGGAGCTCTTGCTGCTGGCTGTGGTGGGGATGAGCCTGCGGGAGCCCCAGGGGCTGCGAGCACCTAAACCTCGTGTGCCTCCTACCCTCTGCACCCAGGCAGCAGGAGAAAAAGCTAAGGGTGTGAGAACGAGCACAGGCTGCGGGTGGAGGATGGCTTCCTCCCCTGCTGTAAGTTTTTTACCTGCATTTGCTCAAAATGACAGACTACGGGCTGTCTCAGGTGTGGTCACTACTGGTTTGGGTTTATTTTTTCTCTCCTGCGAGGAGAGAAACAGGAGCCTCTTTGATCCTGTTTTGCTTTTCCTTTCACTCTCTGCTTTTTTTCTTCCTTGTTTGGATTTTCCCTTCTCTCCCTGTGTCCCTATTTTCCTCTGCTGTTTCAGCTGCTGTCCTAGTGATGAGTACAGATCCTTCTGGTTGTTGTACTCTACAGTTCCTAGAACTACATTTATTTATATTTGTTCTTAGAACCAAGATGGTAAAAATAGCCTAAAGGCCATGGAAATAGTGAGGGAGGGGAGTATAATGCATTGTGCATTGCTTTCATGGATTGCCAAAAGGTGGAAACCCTGTTGATTGGAATTGACTTTTCCCATGTCTCAAAGTTAGCCTGTAGCTCACTAAGTTGATCTGGAGGCCTGGGAAAGGACATACTCCATTGAGTATAGTTGCCACCTTTTGGAAAGAAAAAGAGGAAATCTGGAAGAAAAAGAAGGAGGAGATAAAAGAAGATGAAAGTGGGTGGTGGGAGGAAGAAGAAAGATTAGTAAAGTGAAGGGAAAAACCCAACAGCAGCAACAAAAACCAAAGCACAAGAACTGTCAGAGAAAAAGTTGCATGTAATTTAGTGTCCGGACTTGGAATGCGACTGTACCATGTGTGGGAGCGGGGAGCGTAAACATCTCTAATTGCCCCACAAAGAGGTCTCGCTCTGATCTCAAACAATCCACTATTTATTTAATCTCCAAAACTGAGCTCCTATACTCTTTCCAGCCTGGCTTCTTAACGAGATATGTTGTAACAGCGTGAGCTCTATGAACATGCGGTGTTTCTGGGGCTGGCGGCAGGCTTCTGCACTGCAGCATGGAAGAGCAATGATTTTTGCATGGGAGAGCCAAACCCGCAGGATGCAGCTGGAAGGTGCGTGAAAGGTGAAGTGAGCAGTGAAGAATGACAAAGGGTTCTGCCATCTTCCGCTGTGAACCAAGCTTTGCCATTAAGGTCTGCGCAACGTACTTTGAGCTACTACTGCTGGGTTCCTTGTGGCAGTCTCTGCTGTGGGGTCACCAGGTAGCGGAGGTACAGATATTCCCCAAATGCAGGGCTGTGGAGATCCCTGCCCCTTCTTCTGGCATGGAAAGCTGAAGAAAAGACTGGTGTAGGCAGTCTGCTGGCCCTAGGATAGTGTGATGCTGACTGGTTTGCACCCCTGCTGCTTAGGGCTGTCTAGTCTATAGCAGATTTGTCTGGGGGATGAATATTTGGTGCAATATGAAGCAGTGTCAAGCGGTGAGATAACAGGCAGGGTGGATGATCGCTGCCCAAGCTTGTTCACAGGCCCTCTTTTATTTAGCAAGAGGCATGCGTCTGTAGGAGATCATAAACCTAGGTCATGCTTTTCTGTGTAACTTTATCATGGAAATGGTGCTGTTATGTAGGATGGTGCCCTCAGCTGTCTGCAGACTGGCTGAAGTCACTGCCCTACTGCTTATAGTGCCCCAGAGAAGGACTTTGAGGTTTTTAAGTGTTTCTCTGAAGCACTGGCAAAGGTTATCCAGGGCGTTACAGTGAAGATGTAACTTTCCAGGATTCAGTCAGGGTAGCTATTGATCCAAATATCTCATGCTGTCATCCAGACATGTATAAACAGTAGTCTAGTGTCATGAGTGTACAGTGAGTGTATGTGCTTTCCCCTCTAGACTGCATAGTTTTCATTCTGCTTCCGAAATAGCTGTGACATTTGGGCCTCTAAACAGAGCTCCAACGGAAGATGCTCATGATTGTGATTTAGTTGTACTTCTATATCTCTTTCTCCTCTGCTCCCCTTTCATCACCCACTGCTTCTGCCTCTGCTCTTTCGCTGGCTTGCTGCCTTCCCACTCTTCCCCCTCCCTCTTTCTGTTCTCTTCTCCGCATCTATTTTTACTGCTTCTGTCTTCTTCATCAGTCAACATCTTCCTTGTTTCTTTCTTCCCTTGCTTCTTTCCCAGTATCAAAGAGCATAATTTTTTACTGTGTATATAGGATAAAATGTTTAAAATGCTGGTTTGACCCTGAGATTTGTCCTCAAAGATTTAAAGGCATTCTTTCAAGAGGTTACAGTTACAGGCTTTGTATACAAACCCATCATCTTCCTGTCCTTAGATGTGTTCGGCTCTCACAGTACGCGGAGCTGAAGTTCCAGGAAAACCTTGGGGAAGCTGGGAATTGCATGCTGTAGAATAAATGCACTAATGCACACTCTCATGCATCTGTCACTGGCATATTTTAGATTTCTTTGACAAACTGGAGTCTTGCATCTCATTGATATGGTGGCAAATACTCATAAGCCATTTTTGGACAGAGAAATAAAAACATGGGTGAACACTGAGGAACCAAGGTCACTTTGACATCATCTATGCCAGACAGTTGAACTGATTTTACTGAATGAATCTTCACGTGTATGACCAGCAGTGTAACTGTGGGGAATGTTAGGAAGACTCCCAGATGTCTGCTGCCGTGACATTAGCGCTGATCTCTCTCAGCTGCCAGGTTTTCTGGCTTCAGGTCTGGCAGGCTGCGATGCACATGCTGTGCATGAAAGAGCATAATGGATGAGATGTGTGAAATTTTGACAACCAGCTACTAGACCATGCTTTCTTTTGCGAAAGAAAGTAGTTCCAGAAGCAATGTTGCAATAGTGGACTGAATTCTCACTCAACCAAATCTAGTCTAGCTCCACTGATTAGCTAAGGCATGGCAGTTGGTTGCACCAATGGGTTTCTGAAACAGGTAAAATGCTGAGCACAGCTACATTGGTACATGGCTTACAGGGGACTAACCCTTATGAGTCAGAATTGAGCTAATACCCAACAGGGATAAAAGCAGCATTTTTTATTGGGGTAAGGCTTGAGGAGCAGTGGAGGTTTAATACACCCTCGAGCAGAGCTGTGAGAGCAGCACACAGGCTGAGTATCAGGCTCTGTCCCTCTGTCCCCATTTGTTTGTCTTTGTGATGGTCCCTACAGAGACTATCTCCTCCCCAGTCGCTGGAAGCTGTCAGGATAAACCATCTCACCTTTGACATTTCAGCATGATTGACCCCCCAATTAACCCTGTTGGGATAAAAGAGCTTCTCTTTTGAAACCAGCCATCAGACAGTGCCCCATCTCCTCAGACACAGACCTGGGCCCAAAGGTGATGTGTTCGTGGCCTCTAAGCTTGATTACTGCAAAACAGTGTTACCGGGAGTCAAACAAAATTCCCTCAAAAGCATCTTCTGTTGCAAGCACAGCAGCACATCTACCTAGCAATGTGCATCTTTGCCGAGCTCACACCACAGCACCAGTCCTCATGTCTGTTACAAAGTCCATGTCAGATAGTCTGTATAGTAATCAAAGCCTTCCTTGATCTGGATCTAACTGTTTTGTACTTCACTTCAAAACCATAGACACCCATGGTCAAAGCTGTAGGTAACCAGAGACAAGGGATTGCAGGAGACATCTTTGATAGGTGCTGTCCCTCTGCTCCTTCTCGCAAGAGAAGAGAGTGGCCATGGACCTCATGATCCTGAATAAAGTGCAAAACACCTGCCGTTGCATGTCTGATTTGATTCAGGGAGCTCTGCACAAGATGTGCTCACGTGCACACAAAATGCACCCCAGTCCTCGCTCCCCCTTCCCTTCTCCCCCCACTCAAACAAACAGCTGAACAGAAAAGTGAAATAACTTGCTTTCCATTCATTTTTGAGGAAGAAAAACTGGTCATTTATCCTTTAAATATTTGGAAGACTTTGTGAAATTAAAATTAACAAGGTCATATAAAAGCCTTCTTGAACAGGTAGATCCAACTTTAAAAAAAAATCCTGGATTTTGGACTGGCGCAGTTTGTGAGCCTCGCTTTACACTACAGAAAGGAAAGACTCTTGCAAATTAAATCTGTACAGATGGCGAAGAAGTGCTTTGGAGAAGTAATTAAACTTTGCCGCAGTGTTCATTTCTATTTGCTGAAGGAAAGACTTTATGGCTCTCTTTGAAACAACTTTCTTTCTGCCCCTGCCATCCCGCAGAGAGGCTGCATCACTCACTGCTGCTTTTTGCAATAGTTTCTGTGCTCTTTCCCGTTTAACTCTCTGCTTTATCCTTGCACCTATTAACTTATCATGGCCGTGGTGGGAGTTGGCATTTGCAGCTCGCCTGCCCCGAAGGAGTTAACTGGGTTTATTACATAATCTGTTTAACATTCGGGATGAATAGGAAATGCACGCCCCTCCTCTCCTAGAATATGTTTGTGCGCTTTAAATCGCACTCCTCCCCAGCTGTGTGTAAGCCCCACGCCACTTGACATGCCCTGAGTCTCCGCGTGTGTGCTTGGGTGCGCGCTTGCATGCCTGCCTGCAGCTTTGCCCCGTTCCAGCTCCGCTCATGCTACCGGCGTTGCACACCCACGTGTCTCTGTGTGTGTGTGCGTGCACATGAGAAGAGAGGAGCGTGGGGAGACGAGACGGTCACATTTATAGGAAGTGCCAGCAGTCACTGCAAAGTGTGAAAGCAAACTCTGCCATCTCTTGGACTGCTCCGAGTGGACAGACGGCCTCACATAATGCCATCTTTCGATGAGGTTTTGAAGGAAGCTGGGGAATTTGGAAGATTTCAAAAGAGGGTCTTTTTCCTCCTTTGCCAGACGGGCATAACTTTTTCTTTCCTGTTTGCCAGCGTCGTTTTCCTTGGGCAGGCACCGGACAACTACTGGTGCAGGATCCCTGGGGCAGCTGAATTAAGTGAACGATGTGGCTGGACGCTGGAAGAGGAACGATACTTCACAGTACTGCCCCTGCACCTGGGGAACGGGTCCTCCAGCGGAGAGTGCGAGAGGCTGGACGTTGTGTGGGACACCTCCACCAGCTGCGCCAGCCCGCTCTCCCACTACGGCAATCTCAGTGCACGCAACCTGCTGCTTGCCACATGCCACGATAACTGGGTGTATAAACAGCCCCACTCATCCATCACCAGCGAGGTAAGGAAAATCCTCGTCCTCTAATCAGCGTCTTCCGTCCCGGTGCGGGATTGTGGCAGTAAAATGAGATTGCCGCTGCAAGGGTTGTTGCTTTGGTGGCTGGTTTTCCTTTCCGGATTTGTTTCGTTCCGAGTCACAAGCAAATCGGGACAATGACTATGATCAAGTGTCAGCGTCAAACTTTTAGGGAAAGGTGAGCTGATCTGAAGGGTGGCTCTCCAAAGCCAAGCACCCCGTGCAAAGCCAAAACACCCCACACAGAGATTGCTTTGTTGCTAGAGGAATGTCAGATTAAAATAAAGAGTTAAGTCCTTGCAGCTGAGGCTTCTGGTGCTCAATTTTAGGCCAGCAACTTTGGTGGTGTAAACCTGAAGTGTAGCTGACTGATACCACTTGCTGATCTGGATCACTGTATGTTATCCGTTCTCTGTATTTCCAGTACTGAACATTTATGTCTGCAGGTAATAAAAAAAGCTGGTGGCAGACTGCCCTTCTGAGATCTAACAGAAGTCAGCAGAAATGATTACGCTTACGAAAGAAAAAAAACACGAATACACATTTTTGCCCAAAGCTATCATTCAGCTTTTCCTGAAATGTCAGTCAGAGAACCGCAGACTGTTACCACTAGTGTTAAGGGCTGGTAAATGTAGTGGCTTTTTAATAAGGCTGCGTAAGGCCATTTAAGATGCTTTCCTAGGAGATCCTCTGTGTAATCTGTGATCGTGCCATGGATGTGCTGTGGTCTGGCTCCAGTACACAGGCTGCACACTAGGATTGTGTATTTTAAGGTCATCCTGACAGTAACTGTCACCAACACAGTGACGAAAAATACGAAGTGTGCTTAGAGGGGTTGGCTAGGAAATCATCAAGGTGCACCACAAAATGTGTCAACACAGCCATGGGCTCTGGCTCCTGCCAGTCTCATAAGCCTCCCGCTGCGGTTTTTAACGGTGCTTGCACTGGAGCTGTGCCCTCTGAAACATGGAGCAGGGCACAGCAGGCGAAGCCCTGAGCAAACACTGAACTGAAAAGCAGTGCCTATCCCGACCTTTCAATTCACCATCCTTCCCCCATCCAGCTGGGACCGCTGGATCTGCTTGCAGGATTCAGGCTCTTCAGAGCAGGAGCTTTGTGCTCTGAGCTCTGCATCTGACCTGAGCAGCTTTAGCCAGGATCTACGCTCAGGAGAAGATAAATCAGAGCACCTGGCTGGTCCTAGAGCAAAGCTTCAGAACTGGCTTTTGTGTGCGATTGCCGAAATCAAGGCTGCTTGGAAGGCCGCAAGTGACACGCAGGGAGCTGGTGTCCCTGGGAATGACGTATCTCTGCCCATGTTGGCAGTGGCAGCCAGGGCTGGGTGTGCAGTAGGACAAATGCTGCCCGGGAGCCACAGCCTGGCTCCGGAGCGAACCGCGGGAGGCAGCTGTGGTGGGAAGGTTATGCTGCTGCCTCCGAGGTACCTCTGCTGGGGGACTGCGAGGGGTTAGGTCACGGTGTCTTTTACCTGGGCAGTCTGTCCTAGGCGTTCCCCTTAGAGCTTAAAAATAAAAATATAGAGAATTCTTTTCTTTTGTTGTTCCTTGTTTTTTCTCTTCAACCTTGCTGTAGGTGAACGCATGTAAGTTGTGTCCATAAGATTGTGCTCAGAGTTCATGTATGGCAGCAGTTTGTGTATCTAGCAAAGCCACTGTGATTTTCCAGCAGCACTGAGCCACTGAGTACAGCTAAGAGAAAATGAAACCAGTGTTTGTGTTGCAGCAATAAATGGGAGTGAAAGGTTTAATGTTCTCTGGCAAACACCTCGTCCATCTGCACCTTCTTCCCCCCTTCTCCTGGGGAGACACTCCAGGGCCAGGGGAGAGGAGGGATGAAGGGATGCTTGTGGAAACGCTCCCCACCTGTGCTCCCAAAGGCACACACTGGGAAAGCCAGCGAGCAACAGTCTGCAAGTAGCAACAGGCTGGGACTGTCTGTCCCCTGTGCCGGGGAGCAGGTCCCATCATCAGTGTCACTGCTGCTCTTAGAGGGACTCTTGCTGACCAGGGGCACCTCGGCTGGAGGGCGCTGGGCTGTGACCTGTGGCACTTGTGTCCTGTTCCCAGTTTTGCAACATTTGCCGGATATATCACATCCCACGAGGCTCTGTTTCTTCATCTAAAAAGGAAACTTGTGGCATGCACGTCCTGGCTCAATTGCTTTGAGATCAGCTATTAAAAGGAGCTTGATATCTATTAATGTGTTACACATCCAGTAAAGACAATTTAAATCCCAGACTTAATTTAGTCTCCTTTCGCTCAGCTGAAGCTCTAACAAATCATGACTCAATTTAAACAGATCTGTGTTCTGTTTAATCAGATCACCAAACATGTCTTTTCTCATGTGTCTACTTGTAAATGCTTCATTTTGTCCATGTGTGCAGAAATGTTTCTGTTTCTTTCAACTATCTTAAGATTTCTGGCACTTTATGTCCAGCTGAATCAACAGTGGAAGTGACCAGGGAGACAAAGTTAAAAGGATGAGTTACATGACAATCTGAAGGACATATGTTCAGGGAGAGAGAGAAAAAAAAAGTCAGGATACTGAAGGAGTCCCTCCAGGCTTATGGCAACTGCAGACCTGGTGTGGATTTGCAGCGTGGCAGGGGAGGCAGAGGGCAAATGCAGGCATGCAAAGCTTTCGCTGGGAAAAGATGTCATATCATGGAGCAGTGATATGACATCTTTTCTGAACTGACAATCAGTTCTGAGCACCCTGAAGAATCATATGGCTGGAGGGACTGACTTATGAGGAGTTGTGAAATGAATGGTATTGCAGTACCTGACTTCATTGCTCTGATTTGTGCATGACTGGAGCGTACTGCTCGCTGGCCACTCTCATCTTGGATAGCTATCTTCTGCAAAGGTGTTCACAGTAGCATCAGCAGAATGGAAGCAGGGGAAAAAGGGGGAATGTGGACTGATAGAAAGCACCCACTGCTTTGTAAGCAGTACCTGAGTTGCTTGCTGCATCACCTGCTGCTGCTGCGGGACTCCTGAGTCCCAGTGCTGGGGTACAGCGGGGTGCTGGGAGAACATACCAGGGCTTTCCTCCTTCAGGATTTGAGGAGAAGAGCAAAATCCATTAAGAAATCATCACAGGAACAACACATGGCAAAGCCAGTTAGCTTGGTCTAGTGACAGGAGACAGAGCACTGCTAAAGGTTCCCTTTTAAAATCTTCCTTTTGATGTCTAATGGTCCCTACTTCTGCAGTGACATGCCTAAGGGTCTCTGTGCTCCATTGCTTTAGGTCAGGCTTTTCCATGAGGGTAATCCAGATCAGAGAAGGAGTTGTCCACTGGTGCTCCACATACAGCCCAGCACCACGGTGCCTGAATTAGAGTCAAGCAAACCAGAGCTCGGATGATGTAAAAGTTTGAAGATATCAGCAAAGTCCTCCGCTATGCGTAAAACTTGGCAGCAACCCCTCCGACGCAATGTTGTCACAGGTGGTGGATCTGCGCAGAGGACCTTGGCCTGGTGCAATCTGCCCCCGTTTAATTGAACGAGTCTTGCACAGCTCCCTGTGAAACTGGAAGACATGGCTGCATGCGTCAGCGGCAGGACAGGAACCCAATGGCTTCTCAGATTTTGCTTGGAGAGGGAGGCTGAGGGGGTAATTATCAAGCTAAATCCATGCGTGGCTCATGCCAGCTGATGCCATCTGAAACGATGCTGGTAGTAGCAGGTGGCTGGCGCTGCTCGGGAGGGAAGGCTGGTGACAGCAGCACCTCTCACAGGGGGAGGAGGACAGGAAAGGACGGCCTTTCTGTGCAGCAGATGGAGCAGGCAGAAGAGCAGGGGTGCTGGGGTGCTGCGATCGACCGGGGGTGCCGCAGCCTCATGCTTTAGCCTGGGGATCTGGAAGGGAGTCCAGGTCACCCCCTGCACTCCGTAACACTTGAAGTAGGAAGCATGTTGCCTGCCATCTCCTGCCAGGTGAGCCTGGTACGCACGTACCCAGGACATACAGAAGTCAATAAACCTAATTTCCCCAGGAAACTCGGCTGAACACTGAGTCACTGACCTTTAATACTGCTGGGCTTTGGCACTATGTACTTTTGTCCCAGTGGAGAAAGTCTAGCACTCTACAAAAGGGTGGCTGGCGATAGTTTGCAAAGCGATAGCTGTTTTATTCAGACATTTTTGGCGGCAATGACTCCTAGAGGCATGTGCATGAATTACAGTCGCATCTGCAGGTTGAATGGCCTGTGGTGGTGGATGAAAGGAAGAGGGAAGTCTACATGGTTATCAGCAGCTACAGCACAGCTGGCATATTTTAGGCTTATTAGCAGCCTTTGTTGGCAGGAGTTCAGCAGAAGGGACCGATTCCAATATGCCCTGTCTGCAGCAAGTCTTCACGCCGTAGATGATGTCATTTCGAGACCTGGCAACAATTTATTGCCAAAATGTGAAGTCTGAGGTGGACAAATGATCATCTGAACATATCCTATTGCACCTGCTGGGAATAAATCTTCTTACTCCTCTGCTTGCCAGCTGTCTCAGAAAATAACAGTCAGCCAGCATTTGCAGAGAAGCCTGTAAGCAAAGCAATAATGTTTGTCTCAGTTTTTACAGTCCCTCAGAGCAGGACATAACATGGCAGTCAAGCTCAGGGTGGAGAAGGCACAGCTTGTCCTTTTGCTGTCCTCCAAGGCAACAAACAATGCAATTCACCCTCAAAGTGTTGATCTAGTGTGATTATTGTCATTGGCATGGCAGTACCCTGTCTTATTTCCACCGTCATGGTGGGATTAATATTAAGCAGTGGAGGGAAAGGGAAAAAGGGCAGACAGAGGAGCAGAGGGAGCAGCAATTGCTGAAATTCTTATGAAGCTCTAACTAAGCTTTCCCCATATGAGAGCAGCTGAAGCAGTTCATTGCACGAGTTACGCCAGCGGGGCTACGGTTCTGTCACTGCCGTCGAGCCAGCTGGTACTGGCTGAGAGTTTGGGCCTTGGTT